TATGTGTGTGGTGATGATAAGATGAATATGAGAAGTTCATTTATTTAAGTGTACCGTGAGATAATTTGTTTTTAGTTATAAATTTGGGATAGTTAGGAATAATATATGTTCGGAAGGATAAGAAGAGATGAAAAGAATATCTTATGTGTCGAGGGACCAATAACGACATTAACAACAGTAATAATTTTAAATACGAACATAAGCAGACTTCATATATTAAAATGAATAGAAATAAAATAAATTAGACGTGAAAAGTTTTAAAGGTTACATTATGATTTTCAGTAAATTAGATGGATGACGGACCTTGTTTGTATAAATCATTACTAAACAAATTGACATTCATTAGGTGACACAATCCACTTTCCGAAAGAACATCATCAAGGAAACTTCTGAACCGGGTTGTAGTTTCACTGCAACGGAGGTTCACTGGCCGTCATTTCTACATGGTCGAGTAGCGAATAACGAAGAAATTATGGCGTAAGTATGTGTGGGTTCGTGGAATCGCTAGAATATTTTCCTTATTGCGTAGATTGTGGGATGATATTGTGGTGACCTACTTTTGTCAACAGAACGCGATTGGTTCGATGAAAACAATTATTATTATAACCAATTGTACTAGCGATTGTTTTATTGTGCTCGTTTGTTTAACTGTGCTAATAACAGTCATATTGGTCTTCCATTGTACTCTATTACTTCTACGCGGTTTGTGACTACGCACGTACCTTTCCTTGCTGATCGCATTCGTACTCCTTTGGCACGATCTTGGTATTCTTTCGATACCACGAGATTGGCACGTAGTCTTGTAGCGGTGTTCATAGTCAAGCTCAACTCGACACCACGCTACGATTGGTGAGCCAAATCTGGGAACACGTCTCAACCTCGGTCAAATCTTCCAAAAGAAGGCAATTCGGTGAGTCTATCGCTTATCTATCCACGTCTGTCGTGTATTTTCATATTAATTTTTAATATATAATATACTCGACATGACGGATAACGATAAGAATAGTATTAATATAATAGACTCCGATGTACGTGTACCGAATCCTCGGCACTTTTTATTCGCGTGACGATAAATTCCACACTCTATTCGAGAAATTCCCCAGAATAACTAAACCAATCGAGGAGATTTCATCGGTGACCAATCGTGTGGTACATCACATAGTCACCCGCGGACCACCAGTCACGGCAAGACCACGCCGACTGGCACCGAACAAATTAGCCTTCGCTAAACGTGAGTTTGACAATTTACTATCTACTGGTATTATTCGTCCTTCTCACAGTCCCTGGGCCTCTCCTCTTCACATGGTGCGCAAAAAAGATGGGGTTAGTTGGAGACCATGCGGCGACTACCGAGCATTAAACGTAGTTACGCGCTTTGATACTCACCCCATAACCCACATACACGATATCACGGCATCGCTCAAGGGCACGACTATCTTTTCTAAGATCGATCTGGTACGAGCATACCACCAGATCCCAGTCGCTCTTGAAGATATCGAGAAAACTGCTATCACGACTCCTTTCGGTCTGTTTGAGTTCCTACGAATGCCATTCGGATTACGGAATGCTGCTCAAACTTTCCAAAGGTTTATCGATAGCATAGTACGAGACTTGGATTTTGTTCACGTCTATATTGATGACTTGCTAATCGCATCATCAAACGTAGATGAACATTATCAACACCTTACACTATTATTGCAACGCCTCTCGGATAATGGAATAGTAGTCAACCCAGACAAATGTGAATTGGGTAAATCAGAAATAATATTTTTGGGTCACATCATCAGACAAGAGGGTATTCTGCCTTGCGAGGACAAAGTTCGAGCAATCAAGGAGTACAACGTGCCTTCCTCACTCAAGGAACTGAAGGCTTTCCTCGGTTTGGTTAACTTCTACCGACGTTTCATCCCTCACGCGGCAGAACGGTTACGACCATTAACCGATTTACTACGCGGTAATCCACGCAAATTAGAATTGAACGATACCGCACGTACTGCATTCTCAGAGATCAAAACGGCTCCCACTCAAGCTACACTTCTCGCTCATCCTGACCCATCAGCCACGCTTAGTATAGCCATTGACGCATCAGATTTCGCTATAGGAGCTGTTATGCAACAGAATATCTCCGGTAGTTGGCAACCACTCGAATTTTTCTCACGACGCCTTACTCCCACGGAGACGAGATATATCGCTTTTGGTCGCGAACTGCTAGCAGCCCAATGCGCCATCAGACGTTTCCGGCACGCAGTAGAAGGTCGTAATTTCATCTTATTCACCGACCATAAGCCCTTAACGTATGCCCTGCATACCAAGTCTGACCGCTACTCACCACGAGAGTGCAGACATTTGGACTATATCTCCCGGTTCACGACAGATCTCCGTCACATTAAAGGCGAGTCGAGCTATGTTGCCGATGCTGTATCACGTATCCAAGCGAATGAAGTTACCTGACCGGTGCTCGATCTTCCTGCTATGGCCGCCGCGCAAGCAAACGATCCTGTCTGTACAGAAGCACCACAATCTTCGTCCCTTCAGCGCCAGGAAGTACCCTTAGCTACTAGCTCAGGTACTATCCTATATGATATTTCTTCCGGTCTTCCTCGATCCATCGTACACTCTGCTTATCGACGTCTCGTCCTCAATGCCCTTTATGGATTGTCTCATTCAGGTATCTCAGCCACATTACGTCTCATTGCTGCACGATACGTCTAGCCGTCCATGAATAAAGATGTTCGTATGTGGGTAAAGCAATGCTTACAGTGTCAACAATTAAAAGTGCACAGGCACGTAGCTGCCCCCATCGGCACGTTCGCTACGCCTGATGCTTGCTTCGATCACGTTCATATAGACATTGTAGGACCCTTGCCACCATCGCATGGGTATGATCACATACTCACGTGCATTGACCGTTTTACAAGATGGCCCGAAGCTATTCCCATCACGTCTATTACGGCGGAGACAGTTGCTCACCGCTTCGTAGAACGATGAATAGCATTGTACGGTTGTCCCTCGACCGTCACGACTGACCGAGGACAACAATTCCAGTCCGCATTATTCTCCTCACTGACCCGTCTGCTTGGTACGGAACGCATACGCACTACCGCCTACCATCCAGCATCGAATGGTTTAGTCGAACAGTTTCATCGCCAACTTAAAAGTTCTCTTCGAGCACACGAAAACGACAATTGGTACGAAATCTTACCGCTCGTTCTTTTAGGCATCAGAACGAGTTTGAAGGCAGATATTCAATGTTCCGCCGCTGAACTTGTATACGGCACGACATTGCGTCTGCCTAGGGAATTCTTCACACCACGGAGCAGTAATGATTTAGGTAAATCAGACTACGTCCATCGACTGTCTGCATTTATGCGAACGCTGTCTCCGGTGTCAACTCGAATAAAACATCGACAGGTCGCTCTCCCTCGAGAGTTATCTACCTGTTCACATGTTTTCATACGAGTAGATTCGGTACGCAAACCTTTGCAACAGCCTTACGAAGGCCCTTTTCACGTGATCTCTCGTCACGAAAAGACCTTCAAGGTTGATCGACACAGCCGCGTCGAGATCGTCAGCATTGATCGTCTCAAACCAGCACACGTCGATGACAGTGCCCTACCCGATAACTTGAGACTCAATGCCAGACCTATCAAACCTACTAGCGGGATATTCACATCTACCTCGGATCCCACGCGAGATATATCAGAGACCTCGTTCTCACGTCCCGGTCAACAGCACGCGTCATCCGCACCATCTACGGACGAGACGTCCGTCTCACGTCCAGATCGGCAGGCCACGCCGCCCTTGACCTCGGATGAGATCGCAGGCTCACGAAGTACGAACGAGACTACCGTCTCACGTTCCGGTCGCCGAGTACGATTACCCGTACGCTTTCGCGACTAACCGCACAGTCAACATTGGATACGGTGCAGGACTATTCTTATACTGCACGCATGCTACAATTTTATTTTTTGTATCCTGAGCCCACGCCTCCGACCATCGCCCGTTCGGTAACGTCGACTTCAGTCAACCTTGGCGAAAGCTGGCCTGATCACCCACGCTCTTGTCAACACACTCAGTGAATAATCTGGTTTCGAATCCACCTGGCATACGCTTGGTTTCGCGTTTGGTCGTTATGGTCGCCTCCGGTTTCTTGGCTCAACGTGGTTTCGTCCCACGTGTGCAGCGTTTTCTGGTCCGCATCCCTACGAACGCAATCTTCAGATCCTGGATACAAACCACTCTGGTGTGGTATGCTAATTCGAGCAACAAATGCAGCACACTTCGCCTGGTAACGTTCTACGCAAAAGACTTTCGTTGGCGATTTGAGGATCAACGATCGCTTCTTGTTTCGCCAATTCTTCCGTCCTACAACCGCACTTTTGCCGATCAGTCCCACGAATCGAACCGCTACCTATCGAAAGTGTAAACCCTTTCTAGCGGGCGGCTCCTATAGTGACCTACTTTTGTCAACAGAACGCGATTGGTTCGATGAAAACAATTATTATTATAACCAATTGTACTAGCGATTGTTTTATTGTGCTCGTTTGTTTAACTGTGCTAATAACAGTCATATTGGTCTTCCATTGTACTCTATTACTTCTACGCGGTTTGTGACTACGCACGTACCTTTCCTTGCTGATCGCATTCGTACTCCTTTGGCACGATCTTGGTATTCTTTCGATACCACGAGATTGGCACGTAGTCTTGTAGCGGTGTTCATAGTCAAGCTCAACTCGACACCACACTATAACATCATAGAGTATGAAATGGTGGATACCAAAGAGTAGGAAATACCTTTAATAATCCGATAGATAAAGAAAAGGTTTAATTTAATACTTCTGATCCAAAGAGGTTCTTATTTGAGTTGTTGACATCTGTGATGATAGTCTTTGTTGTCGGAGTGCCCCAGGACAGCTTTGGTGAACCTTCTTTGAACAACTTCAATTTTAATCAGGTCATTATGCCTGCAATTACTGTAAACTAAAATACTATATCCAAGAATGGGTAAGATACATTTTCTGTATAATAATAATAAGCTCGATTCGATATTATTGAACTTTATCATTATGAATCCGGTGAGCTTTCTAGCTTTGGATACTTGCTATGCAATGTGCTCAGAAAAGTTCAGACTGTTGCTATATCTTAAACCCAAGTCACGAACAGTGTTGAGGAGTTTTAGTGTATGTTTGTGTATGGTCAGATTTAAGTTAAAGCAGCAGCCAATGTGAATAAATCCACTTTTGTCAACGTTAAGTGGCAAATTCCACGAAACAGTTCATTCGTATAACTTGTTTATTTCTTCTTGGATTACCACTGAAATATAGCTTTCTTTGGTGGGTGAAGAGAATGAATAAACTACTTTTAGGTCATTGGCAAAAAGGAAAGGTTTACCATACTGAAAGAAGGAACACACGTCATTGATAAAAAGGAGAAAGAGTAATGAACCAATCACACTTCTTCGTATAACCCCACTGGTTACATTCATAGGTTGAGAGTAGCAAGATCCAAAGCGAACGATTTGGCTACGTTCTTCTAAAAAAGATTTGAGCCAACATAAAAGGGGATTCTGTATGTCAAATGAAGAGAGTTTTAGAAGAAGAAGTTTGTGTGAGACACTGTCGAAAGCCTTTATAAAATCGAAGTAAAGAATTATCACTGACTGACTAAGATCTCTCCTCTGGGTAATTTGATCAAAAATTTCCACGTTTGATGTGAAACATGAGCGTTTAGTCATAAACCCGTGTTGGGATGGGCTAATCAGACTAGCTGGAATTAAAAACGATAATAGCTGTTTGTGGATGATTTTTTCCATGGTTCTTGAGAGCAGGGATGTTAAATTAATTGGCCTATAGTTAACAATATCATTAGGTAATCCTGTTTTGAATCTAGGGGTGATAAGATATGTTTTCTATACAGATGGATAGGTCCCATATTCCATATATATGTTGAAAAGTTTCAATTAGTTTTTCATCATGGCTCTACAGTTAATTCTTAAATGCACAGTGAATGTACAATTCAGATTCAACAACGAATATTATAGACAACTAGATGGAGTTGCCATGGGGTCACCATTGGGCCCTCTACTGGCGGACATTTTCTTTGCAAAACCGGAAAATGGATCGCTTAAAAACACTATTAGCCAATTACCAGCTTATTATCGTTACACAGACGATACTTCCATAGTGTTAGAAAAAGAGCATGATAAAGATAATTTACTTAATACATTTAATAACGTTCATCCATCTATTAATTTTACATCAGAAGATGAACAGAACAATAGCATATCGTTTTTAAATGTCCAACTAACTAGACGAGCAGATGGAACATTAAAAAGAGGGTTACACAGGAAGTCGGCAACAGGACAATACACCCATTTCTACAGTGCAGTTCCAACCAGATACAAAAGGAACTTGATAAAGATCTTGACCCACCGTGCCAGAAAGATTTGCTCGGAAGACACCATTGAAGAAGAATCGGCTAAAATTCGGAACATACTTAGTACGAATGGGTACCCTTTGAAATTCATTGACGAACACATGATGGTGATGAAACCAAAAGCGAAGATACCCACGGTCCCTAATAAAGTACTATTCATAAAATTACAATCCATAAACGATACTACTGAAGAGATCGTGACTAAGAAACTACGAAGAGCTGTACAAAAAACATTTAATGCAGCCAAACTGAATACTATCTTCTACAACTACCTCAAAATAAGAACTCCCAGTAAAGACAAACTTCCTGAATTCGCCAAATCTATGTGTATCTATCGGCTCAACTGCTCCTGTGGAGCCAGTTACATAGGGTGTACAATTCGGCAAGTTCGTCACCGTATTACAGATCATCCGTCGTGGTTAAATAAAGGACAAGTAAAAGTGATTAAAAGTTCTATTCTCGCTCATTTGGTTGACACAGGTCACCAAGTTGAATTGAATAAAGCTTTTAAGGTTATCTACCATATCCCATCAAATTTACCATATGGTTTACGAGTGCGTCCTTTGCACATTTCGGAAGCCATCGCAATCCATGTTCACAAACCTGACCTTTGCATTCAAAAGAAATTTGTTCAACCACTTTCGCTACCTTGGCCATCGGTATAACATTCCCTTCAACAGAACTATTTTCCATACTCCTCACATTTAGGTTTTTTACTTCTTTAATTCTTAATTTTGTTTTTGTCGTTTGTTTTTTAAACTTTATAATTTCTCAATATTCATTTCTTGATTCTTACGTAACTGCTATTCTATTGACCATCCATTAAAAATTCTGTTCCTTCTCTTTTTCATGTATTATGCAGTGTAGCAACTTCTTGATTTAATAGTTACTTTAAATATTAATAATCCTCTTTCTTCCAAACTACTCAATGTTAATTTAAATGTCATTATGTGATTATTACGTAACATATCCACTCAATGAGTATTATATCATTATTGTAAATCATACATATATATTAGTGTAGAGCCATGATGAAAAACTAATTGAAAAGAAATTTCTTCACCCAATTCGTTCCTTCTATATTTACCAAATGTCCAAATGGGAATTTTCACTATATTGAAAAGTTTCAAACAAAATACTGGGAATTCTCTACTCTCATATTTCACAAATGATGAAGGGACCCCATCAGGTCCACCATCATAAGACTTTTTCAAAGCAGCTATGGCCTGCTTGATGTTGGAGGGTGTAAAATCAATTTTTGGTAGGTGTATGGATGTCAGCATTAAAAATTTAATGACAGAGCTTTCAGTTTCAGTTTTGTAGCATTGAGAGAAGTGCTTGCTGAATCGTTCACAAATACTATTAGGGTCGTCAACAATGCTTCCGTTAACTATGAAGAATTTAGTCGTGCCAAAGGAATTTGATTTCACACGGGATTCAAAAAGTTAAAGTATTGATAATTCTGGGCTTTTACTACCTAGGGGTTCATTTTCCATATTCATAAAATACTTGCGTTTGGATGAAGCATTTCTGTCGATTAATTTAATTATATTCTGAAGTGCATACACTTCATTGTGCTTATAGTAGCAGCGTTTTAATTTCCTTAGTGTTACGTCCAAGTTTTGCTCCTTCCCGTTATTGAAGTACGGTATGTCGATCTATTTGTAATTTACGAACCCAAATTAACAACAGAACCAAAAACCAAATCAGGTAACAAGTTTATTCGCAATTCACAAATAGTCGACCAAATGTCGTTCTAACAACAACAATAATTATAATAATTACAAAACAAACCTTCAATTTTATAGGTTCCCGGAGCAAAAAACTTCCAATTACCAAGCCAAAGACAAACAGAAACCAAAAAATGTCCGAAATAGTGATATAAACAAACAAGTTCAGAAGTTAAGTGAAACAAATACATCCAAAAACCAGTGAAATTAATGATATTTAATATAAAGTTTTTAATCAGCCAAATGTCTTCAGTTCTCCCGTAACACTCCCGACCAAAAGAACCTTGGTTCTTTTCACAGACAAAATAGGTAACAGCGATCCAAGTATGTGCATCGCAAGCAATCAACAACAAACATTCAATATACCGACAACCTCGTGATCCCTAGGACTTACACCAGTACGCCTAGGGATCCGATTAACTACCTACCATCTACCGCTTCAAGAAGACACAGTTTACGTATATCTCTCACTAGAATACCCTTTCTCGTCCTCAGCTCTACCTGTCTTACTAGTCTATCCTTACTTGGTATCACTCTTTGTACTAGACCTAAGGGCCACTTGTTTTTCTCGGAAAAGTCATAACATATCATTACTAAGTCACCCTCACGTATATTCCTCTCTAGTTGTGTCCACTTGTAACGACGCTGCAATAGTGATACATATTCCTTAGACCAACGTCTCCAAAATACTTGTGCCAAATAGTTCGCTTGCTTCCATCTCTTAGAATACCTGTCATTAGATAGAGTGTTAGCGAATTCTGCAACATTCTCTCGCAATAGTAATAGTTTCGCTGGTGTTATTGCATCAAGATCCTTCGGGTCGTCTGTAACGGGAACCAAAGGTCGATTGTTAATTATACGTTCAGCCTCTGTCATGAAAGTTTCGAGACATTCATCTGTTAAAGGTTGTTCCTTTACAAGAGTACTCAATACTCTACGTACAGAGCGAATCATGCGCTCCCACACTCCTCCCCAATGACTAGCAGCCGGAGGATTGAAATGCCAGTCAATCCCCTTTTTTAGCAAATCAGAGTGTATACGTTCCTGCACCCAACCCTGAAGACATTTTCTTAGTTCATGTTCAGCCCCCACTAGATTTGATCCATTATCACTGTAGATCTCCTTTGGATAACCTCTCCTGCTGACAAATCTCATTAGTGCCATGATAAATGAGTCGGTCGTAAAACTATATGCCACCTCCAGATGCACGGCTCTCAATTTTAAACAAGTGAATACACAACCATACCGCTTCTCAGTATTTCTACCATGTTTGACCATAAGGGGTCCAAAATAATCTACCCCAACTGATAAGAACGGATAGTCACCTCCTTCTATCCTGATCGAAGGTAATGGCGCCATTAGTTGCTGAATGGGACGAGCATTCCTTCTTTTACAATAAACACAATCCTTTATCACTCTCCTCATGGCCACACCGCCCCTCAGCACCCAAAATCTTTCTCTGACCGTCGCCATTACCTGTGTAGCTCCGACATGTCCCTCCAAAACATGATAATACCGTAGAATCAAATTTGTAATTGTGTGCTTCGATGGTAATATTATGGGATGCTTCCTCGACTCGGACCAGGAACTAATTTGAAGTCGACCACCGACACACAATAATCCGTCTATGATCATTGGATTTAAGATTCGTAAGGGTGAATTCGTTATTTTCACCTTGCTAATGTTATCAGACGACAACATTTCAATCTCTTTCCGAAATACTATGCTTTGGACATATCGAATTAAATCTAAACAAGCTAAATTTAGTTCATCAACTCTGAGCATACCCACCTGTAGGGATAGATCACCTCTGCCAGAATACATTATTAACAAATATTGCTTAAATCGGATCATCCATGCAACAGCCTTAAGTAATCTAGTCCAATCTGAATAATAATTAATAAGTAGATCAACAGTGGATTCTCCAACCATTACATGCATGGACATTGCCTTCTTTAATTCCAAGAGATGGGGTTCAGGATCTTGTACATTTGCATCAGGCCAACACTCCTTAGGCTTCCTCAAAAAGTGAGGTCCTTCCTCCCATACCTTGACATGATCGATGTTGAACCTTACCCCTCTGGATGCAAAGTCTGCTACGTTCTCCTTAGAAGGTACGAATCTCCATTGGTCCACCTTAGTAAGACTGTGAATAGTCGAAATCCGGTTTGCTATGAATGTTTTAAACTGGCTTTTCTCATTTCTAATATAGTGTAAGACAATCATGGAATCCGTCCAAAAATTAACTTCTGCAAACTTAATATCTAACTCGGACTGCAGCTGGGACCCCATACGCGCTGCTAACACTGCTGCCGTAAGTTCCAAGCGCGGTATAGTTTGAACCTTCAAGGGGGTTACTCTTGCCTTAGCCGTAATAAGACGAGAATATATTCCAGTGTCAAGGATGCAAGATCGGATGTATGCCACTGCACCATATCCAATTTCCGAGGCGTCACAGAAAATATGAAGTTCCAGAAGCGAGCGATCTGATTGTGGAAACAATACACAACGTGGAAAACTAACGTTCTCAACCCTCTGAAGTTCACTTAGAATCTCTAACCAGCGTTTGCATTCCTCACTTGGAATCTCTTCGTCCCATCCTAGTCCCAACTTACTTAAGCGCTGAAGTAACTGCTTCATAGGAATTATAAATGGTGCTAACAATCCCAAGGGATCGTAAAGTGAGGCTACACTCGACAATATACCTCGCCTAGTGAGGGGGCGTTTCGGTACGCGAACTTTAAATTCAAACGCATCAACCATAGTATTCCAAAATAATCCCAATGTGCGTTCCGTAGGAAGTCTCTCAAAGTCAATTTCTCTTACGGCCTCTGCTCTCTCATCTGGATCAATTGATTCGAGAACCTGTAAACAGTTACTTATCCACTTGGTAAGTCTGAATCCACCTTTTCTGAGGAGTAAACCTAGGGCTTTTGCAAGCTCGATTGCATCCTGCACATTATCAATTGAGGCTAAATAGTCGTCGACATAGAAACTCTTATCTACGACTTCTCGAACATTTTTATTCAATTCTTTACCGAATATATCTACCGTTTTCCTAAGAGCGAAATTAGCGCAAAAAGGAGAGGACACGGCTCCAAACGGATGGACTGTTAAACAGTATTCCTTAGCCCTTTGTCTTACATCACCGTCTTCCCACCACAATAGTCGAAACGCTCCTCTATCTTGTCTCGGGATCTTTACTTGAAGAAACATCTCCTCGATGTCAGCGGCTAATGCTACGTTACCTAATCTGAATCGTAGAAGTATACCAATTAAACTATTTACAGTATTTGGTCCTCTCAAAAGCTGATCATTTAGAGAGCAACCTTGATAGACAGCTGCACAATCAAAAACAATTCTCAATTTTCCAGGCTTTTTAGGGTTGATAACAGGATGATGAGGAATATACCAACAAACAGCATCACGGTCAAATCCCTCCTTACTAGCTTCAATGATGTAGCCCTTACTTAAATGCTTATTCATTACAGCTTGATATTTCTCCAGAAGACTATTATCCTTCATAAACCTCTTCCTTAAACACTCTAGTCTGCGTTCCGCTAGTTCCAAATTATTCGGTAGTCTTGGCTTATCATACTTCCACGGTAGACCAACTTGGAAATGGCCACCCTCCAGTCTAAAGGAATTATTTACTATTTCCAGAGCTCTTTTATCTTCGACAGAATATCCATTACGAAACACATCTGCATCCTCAAACTCATGATTATATAATCTTTCTATATCTCGCAAAATATCATTAGTAGAACAATGACACCACTGAACTTGATGTAGAGACCTCGATGCTCCTTTAGGACCTAAAATCATCCAACCGAGATGAGTACGCACACCAAACGGATGCTTCCTATCACCCAGGCGTTGTTCAAGGACCCAATGTGCATCAGGAGCATCACACCCAATCAATATTCCTACCAGAT